CAGGTGCCGGAGTTAAGACGACACGAAAAGCGCACGTGCATACCTTGGAACACGATATGAGCTCTTAAAAAGGTAACGATGAGAAGGCAGGGTAGTGGCGATCAAGTGAAACCAGGAATAAACGATGTACAGTTGGCGTCAAACGTTTTGGGATCACGAGACACATGAGAGGACTGGATAATCCCGTTGCTTCGGCAGGAAGTTTAGATTCCCGGCAGGTACTAAAACGCGCTAATGAAGCCTACCGCGCAGCTCGACCGAGTACAGTCGCAAATTGCTGGGAAATTTGGAGTTCCCTTTTTTTGCAGCCAGTGGTCTCGGAAATTTTGGTGCCGGCTGTGCGTGCTTTGTGACACACGGATAGCATGGGGAAATGGGCCGCAATTGAAACGAAACTCGGCAAGCAATGATTACGAAAAGTCTGTCGTTAAAACTCCACTAGAACCTCGCTTGCTGTTGTTAAATCTCGCTCACGGGTGACGGGGATCTTTCAGTGCGAAAAAATTACGGTGAGTGAACTGGGACACAAGAATTATTACTTGGCATAAATATGCTATATTCGTAGCTTGTATTCAGAAAAAAAATTAAGGAGGGGGGGGGGGGTCTTGTATCTCGTCAAAAGCTATACTAACAACGAAAAACACATTGAAACGTTAGCTTACTTCGAAAAACTTGAATAATGGAGCAGTTCGCTCGTAGCTTCTGGTTGGTATCGACTAATTAGTGTCTAACAGTAGTTATCTCCTCTCATAGCAGTGCAATAATGTAGCACGTAAGACAACTCTTGTTGTGTGCGTCATTCCTTCACGTTCCTTCACTTGTCAGTCTGCTCGTATTTGTTGTGTGCTGTTAAATTTAAACAAAAAAGATGTGAATGTAGCACGCGTGTACTATCGTGCATCTACGTTACTCGCGGTTTTTTGTCGAATACTTCGATCCACGCAAGTATTTCCAAAAGTGTTGAGTCTCCACATTTGTATACATTCCCGTACACGTGCCCTGCCACGGCAAGACATCTATAATATTCGCTTGCGCTCCACGGTGTCAGGTAATCAGGCATGACTCCTCCACCTATTCTTTCTTGCTTGCTTTTTTGTCTATATTTATTTCTTCCTTTCGTACTCTTTTTATCTTTTTCTCTGTTTTCTTGACCTCTTTCTTTATCTCTTCTTCTTTCTGCCTTTTGGTCTTTCTTTCTATGCGTTTTTATTTCATGACACTGTCTGCAGGTGAGATCCCACCATCCACCTCTCTCTCTCTCTCTTCCGTCTGTGTTTGTTTTTTTCCCTGGAAGAGCGTCCGCTCTTCTCTGTTTCGGCCTGCGAGTATATTTTTTTTCTCGCCCAACTCGGCGCCTTCTACTGTTATGACCGGGTGGTCGGCCGGCCAAAGAGCCATCCATGGCAGCCGGTCTTGCAACCAGCGCGGCCGGCCCACTCCACTGCATTGCGCGTGTCGGCGGCCGTCGTGGTTGCGTGTGCGCTCGAAGCACCGAGCTGCGGCGGCCTGCGAATCGCCGATAAGGATGAGGAATGCCCGGGGCGGTGCCCTCAACCTCCCACCACCACTGCGCCCTTTGTAGGACGCGTTCGCAGAAATTCCGTCGCGTTCCTTGTCCGCCTCTCCTTCCTGCTTTCCATCTCACTCTGCTTTGATCTCGCCCGTCCTATCCGATTTGCTCCCACCGGCGGTTTTATACAAACACGTCTGTTTGGGCCGTAGTTGCAGTGGTTGTGGCGCAGTTGGATCGGTGTTTGAAGCAACTCTTTCCCCGACCTCCATTTCCATTCTCACTGCCTGTTATCTCTCTCTCTCTGTCCGCGTCCGTACATATACTATAGACGCTCGTTCTGCTCCCGGGACCTGACCCCAAGTTGGAGCCGCGAGTGCCGAAGGTCACCACGTCAGATGTGGTCGCCATTGTTCGTGAGGAAAAAAAAAACCTTTGGACCTTACGGTTTACTGTACTTATCGCGCTGATGATGTGCGCCTGCTTTTCAGATCGCTGTCCAGCAGCGTTGCCTTAGTGTTCCGTTTTCTAAGGTCGTGAGATCGAATACCGACCGTGGCGGCTTCCATTTTCGATGGACGTGGATATGCTCAAGGCCCGTGTGCTTTATTAGATTAAGGTGCACGTTAAGCAACCGACTCCGCGTGGTCGAAATTTCCGGAGCTATCCACTGCGACGTCTCTCATAATGCTGTCGTTTTGGGACGTTGAGCCACATCAATCACTATTATATTACTGCTCCGTTTTTCTATGTCGTTCCTCCTTTCACCGCTCATGGCCGTCTCATTCCGTTGATAACGTTGACAGGCCTTCACTGCTTAAAAAGTGCGAACAGCGCGATGAGTCATTCGAGTCTCAAAAGGAGTCGCTGCAAAATTGTGGCCTGTATTATGTTCGTTCGAATGCACGTGGCGCGTTAAACGATTCCGTTCAAACGCTATTTATTTTCGTTCTTCGTCGATTGAACCACGAGTCGCTGAGCTCCACGTTGTATCATCACAATGGTCGGCTTGGTCACCAGCAGTCGATGATGAAACACATCAATAATAGGTTATAGAAACGAGAGAAAGGAATTCCTATACGTTATTCCGGCAAGCGTATCGCTGTGAGCGTGTGACGCCTGCCTCGCTGCAACGAATGCACGTGTCGGTGAGCTTGTTCACTCCGCACAAGTGCAAACACCGCGCAGAGATGATAAAAGTGAAACATGGGTGAGATAAGCTGATTACGGCAACTGTTATCGTCACTTAACATGTCGCTCTCGCGTTGTCGACGACGGTATCTTATCAAGCGCGCCGTAACCTGCAGCATTGCGGCATTAGCATAAACTCGACCTTGGTGTGTCTGAGTTGCAATATCGGCAGGGCTGCTGCGCTGGTGTGGGCGAGGAAAAGTTCCTCAATGAATTTTTCAGGGGTTTTAAAGTGTTTAAACGCTCGAACGTGCTCACGTAGTGGGGCTATGCTTGTTCACGCGAATCATACATATCTGCTAACTCGACCTAACATGCCTAGGTTCCACCATCACGATGGTTTACTATTACAAAGGAAGTTGGTCCATCCATGTTCAAAGGCACACGCAGACATTCAAGCAGGCAGATGCACTCCTTGTTCATTGTTGAAATCAGCGCAGTTTCTCAATGCAATGCAATGTGGCTGCGTGTAAGACTGTAGTTTGTGGCATATTTGTTTAGTTCGTACTACGGCATTCCACTCTTGATAACGATGTCGCTTGTTGTTCGGTTTATGCACGTGGTGTTGTTCGGTAATTTTATTCACGTCTTTTTTTTTTTTAAGGACAGCCTACTTCAAAACTTTAAGGACAGCCAACATCAAAACTTTGAAAAGAAGCTTTACACTGAAAATATTTCTGGACTTCCGCAAGGCTTTTGATTCAATAAAGCATGGCATATTAACAAGTTACTTGTGTATCGAATACGCGGGGTTGCGCTCGACATAATGAAAAGCTACCTCCGGGCAAGAAAACAATATGTACAGCTTCATAAATTTAAATATGACTTGGTTATAAATAAATATTGGGTTCCGCAAGGATCGATACTGGGTCCTTTCTTTTTATATTATGCATCACCGACATCGTAAGCATTCCTTCTACACCAAACATAGTCATGTACGCCGATGATATCAACGTATTCTTTTCTTGTTTACATCTCTGCGATATTGAGACAACTGCAAATTTCTGGTTGGATGGACTAAAATTATGGCTTACAGTGAACCAGTTAAAATTAAATACGAAAAAAAACTAAATTTTTGCTCTTCAAGCAGAAAAGTAGACCTGCAGATCATACTATTAATATTAAATGGTGAGAGTATTTCTCGGGTAAACAAAATTCAATTCCTGGGCGTATGTTTTCAAAGCGACCTTAGTTGTATCGAGCATGTGGATAACCTTCGATTAAATATGTAAGCGTCTAGCGGTTTAACTCTACGATTGCAGCGTCTACTTCCAGGGAGAATGAAACGTCAGCTGTACTTTTCTTTTATCCACTCGAAAAATATGTACTTTATTCTAATCTGGGATACGTGTCACAAAACAAACAGTGAAAGTATTATTCTTCTCCAAAAACTTGCAGTACGTCTGCTAACTACCTCGGTCCCCACAAATACGTCCCTTTTTCGTGTGTACAGCGTTATAGAGTGCTAAGAAGTACAACCAATTCATGTTAATCTTTAAAAAAAGTTTAAGAACAACTTTCAGAGTTTTCCTCATACATACTTAAGCAGAGATCTTACATACAATCTAGGTATTGTTGCGTTGGTGGGGCCAATATGTCGCACTAACTATGGCATATAGTCGATTGATAACCAAATTGTTTTACGGTCAAGAAAATTCCTGAATAGAGTAAGCCAGGGAGACGAAAAACATTACAAAATTTAAGAAGCGAATCGGGAATGTAATAATCCAAACCCCCTTATAGGGCGTGCGTGCTGAAGATTGGTATTGTATGAAATATATTTGTTGTAATCATTTTTCTTTATCGTTGTTTTTCGTATTACTCACAAATTGTATGTATTTCAATAGATGTTAACAGTGCTGATAATTTTTTGTATTTATCGCTAAGGAAGAGCTTTGTTTGAATATTTAACCGACACTTTCCCGCTTGTTCTAGTGTTCCTCGTTTATATAAATGTATAATCTTTCTATGTAGTCTTTTGCTGTACCTGCCCGAAGTGCATCACGAAAAGTGGGCTAAGTCAGGAGACGCTCTCTCCTATTGCTCCCTTCGTGGCCATTTTAGTGAAAAAATGCCCAAATAAATAAATAAATAAATAAATAAATAAATAAATATTCCTGCTGTTCTTTGTATACCTTGTTTCAAAGAAAAGACGTGTGTTCGTATTAGTATCTGTTTGTGTTCGTGTGTGTGTTTGTTTTAACCGTTTTACTAAGTGGACCGCGCTGCTACACATGCTCATAATGTTTTCCTTTCCTTTGTGTATTGCAGGTAAGAACCCGTTGATAGGGCTTTCGAGGTGACAACCACTGCTCCAATACGGAGTCCTCCACTGTGCTCATCGGCGATGTGAAATGTTTCTCTATCTTCGTATCACTTCTCCTCAGGTAAAGGCGTACATTTTGCCAACTTTAGAAAAAAGTTATCACTGCGACTTTTTAATAAAATCTTCAATCTGTGTGACGTACACATTACCTCTTCCAGAACGTTTTCCCTTGAAACGACGATGTGGGATTTCATACAGTTGTGTCTCGTTAATAGAGATGCATCCATTTCCCAGGAAAGAACGCTCGTAATATGAGCCTTCCGTAAGAGGGCATACCGATTAACAGGAACATCATGTTTAAAGCGTTAAAAGGGGCAGATAAACTCTTTATTTGACCAATAAATAGTAAATGAAGCCCTGTATTGATGATTTATATCCTAATTTACATGGCGCACGACACACTTGCATTCATTAAAGCTAACTCTTGGTGCGCCCCTTTTACTCGTAACTTATATAGTAAATAGTTACCTGCAGTTAAGTCACGTTGAGCAGCTTGGAGTGTAACGCTTGATCTCCCCCCTGTTGTTCATTCATTATTGGTTTCCAACGCGGCATAGTTTTCGTTTTGCAGGTGCGAATGCTGAGCGGTTTCGTTGACGCGATCTCTCAATGCGTGTCTTGTTCCAAGCAGCGCGCTGCTCCTATCACAGTGTTTGTGACAACAAGTGTTGGTGCCTTGTTATCAGAGTTTTCACCATAAGAAGACAGAAAAAGAAAAGCGTGCTGTTACCACTTTACACCCGAGAAGGCTGTCCATGTCATCCGGATCGCGACTGTTCGTATTGCGATTTGGCAGTTACCCATGACCACCGACACCTCTCTAAAGATTTCACCCATTCTCGCGATTTGCCCGTTATGAACGCGACCCAAGATTAACAACACACAGCTGCATTGTTGCCGGGCAAGGTGGTTCAGCGACTACACCGTGTCGCTGCTAAGCCACTACGTCGCAGGTTCAATTCCAGGTCGCGTCAGACGCATTTCGATGTGTGCGTAATAAAAAAAATAAAAACACTTGCGTGCGTTGACGGACACTAAGTGGTAAATTTTTATCATAAGTGTGAAAACCCAGAATTTTAACCTTCCTCTCTTCTGTTCATTTGAGCTGCTAACGGAATAGTTCTGTCACAGTGCTAATGTGTATCGCACTTTATTCAATCTATGTTCAATTTTTAGCATTACTAATTCTTGCTTCCAATGAAGGTGCATTTTTAAACCGGACAAGCTACGCTACATTTTTGAGGATCGATCACACTTGTAACAGCACTGCCCGCAGAAATTAAAAAAGTAAACTTAATACCAACCTTAGCGCACACGCCGTGGGTATTGGAGGGATTTATTCACTTGTATTGAGATCGCAGCATTCACCGACAGCCTCTGCGCCGGATGTATGAAACACGCCAGATAGAAAATGAAGTTTTCCAGTCGGTCCGTCCGTCGACGTGGGTGGCAGACTGAGCGTCAAGAAAGGCAAAAAAAAAAAGACTACTTACTCAACAATTGAAGCCGCGCTCTTTTTCTTCTTTCACAGAAAGAAAAGAAACAAACAAAAAGAAACAGTATAGACCTGCGCTTATTCAGCCCGTTACGGGAATATAGGTAAGAGGATCCCGCCTGCACGATCGATCTGCACGAGCCGCGCGATGGACGCTGCGTGTCCTGAGGCACGACCGCCGCCTCGTTTCCACCAGAGCGTGTGGCACGTGTAAGACTATAGCCGACGCTGTGGTGCATACGTCGTCCTGGTCACGTCCTCTTCAAGCGAAAGAAGGGCTAGCGAAGCCTCCGAGGTCGGTGGCGACTGCGGCTGGTCCCGGAACACCTTATCTGGACATGCAACAACTGATCAACACTATATACAACACCACATTTGCGCGGCGCCCTCCAATTGCGCGCTGCCGAGCTGGCCACCCGATTTCCCTGATGGCCTCCGCTGCTGGTGGACTGTAAATATTGTATGTAGTGACGATCCGTTGTTATGGTGTAATTATTGTTTTCTTAATTATACGGACCTCAGCTATAGGCATCTGAAATCGCTGTTACTTCGATTTTCGTCTCATTCAACGAAGCCATTGCGTTGATAACTTCATGGTCGTAAGACATGACGTGCGCTTGCCGTCCTCTTCGTGCACGTCCTGTCTCCTTCTTTAGTCGCAGTGATATCGAAACTATGGCTTTATTGAATATACTGAACCAGCTAGCTTCCAAGGTCTCGTTTTTGTCGACTCTAACGGCAGTTGTGCTTTGATAATAGTTTACATTTTGTCTGGGTGGCATAAACAATGCCAGCAATGATTGTCAGTGCTCTGCATTCAGAGCCACTTTTGCAGCAGGCCATCAGTTCTGCAGTATGTACAAACAACAAACAAACAAACATACCAGCAAAGAAAACAAAGATGTAAGCATGTTAGTCAATGCTTGAATAATTTTGTAGTAGATAATACACATTTATCATGTTCGTTTTTTCCTTTGCAGGAAGAAACTGCATTGACAGACAAGGAAAAATAAGCAACAAATATATTCTACACCGGTTAAAATATAATATTAAGAACAAAAGACTTGTGACTTTTACCAAGGACGTGAAGGTGTTGCCGAATTGAAGTACATTTATTGATTAGCAGCAGCAAATTATTACTTTTGTGAGTTTGAATTAATAAAGTGAAACCAGTACACAAAAATGAAGTTTTTTTAACGCCGTAATGACTGACACTTTTGTTTTTGCGCCGTATTTTGATATTTTGTGCGAGATAGTGGTTAACTGCGCTCGATGACACACAAGGAATGACTTTCGAAGATCACAAGTTCAAGAAAGTAAATGCAAGAACAACGAAACAGAAAATAACTAGCCAAGATCACACGCCGGACACTGTCTTATTTGGGGACGTGATAGTTATGATGATAAGCAAACGTTATTTAGGTCCATAGAAGGCGTGTGTTTAGAAACAGTGGTTAGCGATTTAGAGTGCTTCGTACTCTGCTATAGGAGAGCGTAAAGCCGTCCAGTGGGCCTCATACTTAATGAGGCCGGGTTGACAAAAAAAATTAAAAAAAAAATACGCCGTATGAGAATTTGACATTTCGTACACGGTACGTGTGTTTAGAAAAGGTGGATAACGATTTAGAGTACTCGGTATTCTGCTATGGGAGAGCTCAAAGCCGTCCTCAGAAGGAGGCCCCGCGCCAGCTGGCTAGTTTTCTGGAGTCGTCTGTTGTGTTTTTTTTTTTTCGTTTATCATGTAGCGTCAACAACGCCCAGTTATTGCCCTTCATATAGCTTTAGAAAAACGTTTGGAAGCCACTCCAGGTGGACGTTATGTTGAGCTGTGCGATGTCTTTACACTTGTCAAACTAAATAGTACGTTTTTTCTCTCTATTTCACTGTTTTTTTTCCTCGGTTAGTGAAGCATGAATGTATTTTTTTTTTAATTTTATCTAGATGCGATAAATTCAAGCGATCACCGCGTAGTGTTTTCTATCGGCGTCGCCGGAACACAGACTGAGCACAAACTGAATCGCTGTCAGTTCGGCGGATTTAGAAGAAGAAAAAGAAGGAAGAGAAAACATTATGCAACCCTAAAGGGCGTCTTGAAGGTTACTGCTGAGTGGTGCGCACATGCACTCATGCGTGCGGTTTTCTCTGCGATGCATTCCGGCGTTCCGTTTGAGTAGAGTGGGGTTATGGCTAGAGTGGCCTGCTCAACCATTCAGCGTGTACATGTTGAATTTCTTTCCTTCTTTTTTTTTCTCTATCTATCTATCTATCTATCTATCTATCTATCTATCTATCTATCTATCTATCTATCTATCTATCTATCTATCTGTCTGTCTGTCTGCCTGTCTCTTTTTATTTTTTTCTGTTTTTCCTTTTTCTTTTTTCTTTTTTTCTCTCATTTTCCTTTCTTTTTATTTTTTTTTTCTTTCTTTTTTCCTTTCTTTCTTTCTTTTTCTTTCTTTCTTTAGTCGTTAGGAAGCCCATGAAGAGGAAATAAGATTGGTGAAAATAAAAAGCCTTATCGACTTACTCACAAAGTGAAACATTACAAGTTGAATCAATACGGATTTCTCAGAAAGAAAACATCGCATGCGATTCAGGGAAGCCGCAGTCAACGACGAATATTTCGTCATTTGGGAATCCCCTATACGTATCACCAATTGTTCACGCTGCTATAGCTCTTCTCCGAACAAACGGGTGGATGATTCTTGGCGTCTTGATTCGGGCTTATTGGTACATGCTGGATTCGAACGATAAAACAGCGCTATAGAACAAGACGAAAGTGAGAGGACACAAACGCAGTGCTGTTTCTCGCTTTTATTCTTTTTCCAACTGCTCAACTGCTTTTTTTTTTTTCTTGCTCTTTTTATTCATCCTTCATTTTCCTGGCTATTGTGCGCTTGCTTTCTCACTTTTTTTTTGCCCTCTTGGGTACGTCGTTACATAAACAAGAAAAGGTAAATACGAAAGGCAGACGCGGGCGAAGCGCGCGATTAGACCGAGATTCTAAGCTAAGTGGTGAGTTATCCGAGACGATCAAACCGTCATTTATTAACTGCGTGCAACCCCCTGTAAAGGCGGTTTCCTTGCAGTGTAATCCTTTACCGTGACTGCTACACTTTCCGTAGAGTGGAGCCCTTCGAGAATATATCAAGCGCGGCTTCCAGGAATTGAGTACAGCCACTCCTCCCCCGTGCCCCATTCATACCGTGACCTCAACTTCTGAGTGCTGAGCTCTGCTGAAAGAAAAAGAAAGAAAGAGGGCGCGGTTGAGCTGTGGCTGAATTGACGTTCTCCTCGGGCCCACGTGCCGTGGCGTGCGCTGTCGCTGTCACGGTTACGTGATGGTGCCCTCGCCGTGCAGGCAGCGACTTTCAGCTTGGTGGCTTCGAAGGCGAAAGTGAAAAGAAAGGCGCGGGGGTCGAAGATCCTCTATAGAGAGGAGATCGTATTCGTTGCTCCTTCCGGCTCCCAAAGCGTGCACGCTGGTCATTTAAATTTCATGTTCTCCATCTCATCCGAGAGGAGGCCCCGCCTGAGTTCCGAGGAAAGTGTTATAGTATACGGCCTTCCGTGTCTTACTACGCAGCTTTCTTGTAGTATACGCTTATACGTATAGTATACCGGCTATATACATTGTCCGGCTCTACGTATATAATATCCGAATACACGTATTCGGTTATATATAGAGAGTGTACAGCTGTACGCACAGTATTGACTATCGGCTGTACGTATATTATCTGGATATTGGTATGTGTTACAAGGAACGCCGTGTAGTATATGCAACATAGTATGCGTCCTAAGTACTATAAACGGCGGAAGGGAGTGATAGGACGAACTTCATGCGCATGGCCGCTGATGAACGCGTACGTGTGGCTTGTTCCTTTTTTTTTCTTTTTCTTGTAGCGCCCCCCTGTTTCTGGGAGCTTCCTTCGACGATGAAGGAAGGATAGCCGAGAGTGCCTGCCGATATCGATCGCTGCTGGAAACACAAGATTGTGTGCCGCCGTTCACCGATGAGATTGGATGTTGCGGGGGCAAAAAGTAGGCCCGCGTGCAGGGTATCTGAAACACTTGCGCGGAACTCGCGTCCGGTCGTAATGGTCGAATTCATTCAACTTCAGTTTTACATGCCCTCATCGAACATTCGAGAGTGTAATCAATGACGGTAGTAGCGAACACATTGTAATATTCACAGCAGTATTCGCGTGAAGTACGATCTTATTGGGTTTTTTTAACACGATTGTCTTTGTTTGGATAATTCGACGTTCAAATATTGGTCTGTCAACTTGTCTGTTTGTCACCGGAAATGGTAAGAATCCGACCACACGTTAAGCTTCCACCGATATTGCTCTGGTTTCTGCGTTCATACTCGTGCGTATTATCCGTTAAAAAGCAAATGTTGTGCATATCTGGGACAGAACATCAACACGTCAAAATACTGTTGCGTGTTTCCTTATACTATAAACTGCATACGTAACTAATTCCAAGGACCGCAGCGTCTATGACGCTGCGCTGACGATGCAGTGCTATTCGCGTAAACGCGGTTGTGTACTACGCTTCGCTAAGACGATGCGGTGATGGCGCACCTGCCTGTCGCCTTGGCATCCGAGATTGCGCGCGCGCGCATCCTTTTGTTTTTCAAGATAACTGCCAGATGGCGCTCATAGGTCACGCAGCGTAAAGCATTAACGCAGCGTAGAGTGCCTCGATGCTCTCGTTCGCCTCAGCTGCGTGCATCGAGGCAGTCTTAATTCACCGCCTCCAGAATTCCATTCGACGATTTTTTTTTTCGCGCAGAATATCAAATAAACGTTTTTGTTCACTCTCTCCAGACGGAAGACTGCCGTCTTACGACAAGATTTATAATGAAACATGCATATACGCGGTCATTTTTTTTTCCTTTGCGGGTCTATTGGGTCGCGTGAAGCTCCGCATGCAGCTTTTAGCTCAATACCAGCATCCAGCATGGGTACTTGCAAATAAAGTTGATTCGCTATGATATGTGATGGTGAAATACGGTAGTGGCGAAAACTTGACTAAAAGCTAGAACGTCTTGTGAGTGGCCGAGGGCTAGACAAAACATTTCTAACACTACAAAAAGGTGTAGTACGTAGAAAGTGTTCCACTGTACATAAATCAACGTACACGTGATGCCATTAATGTACGATGCGGGCCATCCTTTCTCTTTTCACCTTTCAAGCGTGAATTTTCGTAATCATTTATACTATAGAGGTTCGAGGCTGAGGCTAGCCAGAGGAAAAGGTGAAGACCGACAGAAATAATGTTTACTGATCGGAACCTGCCCCGCGACCTTCATTGTCCTCTTCTTTTTGATGTTGGCGCGCTCGTGGCCGCCGCCGCTCCCTGAATACCTACACACGCCTACGTTCCCATGCGAGCGAGCGTGCGAGAGGTACGCATATACTATACGGCAACTGATCCTATACGCACGTTTATACGATGACGCGTGCGTTATACCTCGCGTATATAAATAACCGCGAGCGCGCAGGCATTGTCTGGGAGAAAATAACTACATGCATTGGCTCGCAGCCTCTTCTGCTCACGTGCTCTCCCGTGCTTCTGTGGAGTCGGCCAACGACCAGCAGCGCATTATGACCGCTGTCGGACATACACTGACCAACGACGAGCTTGTTCTTTATCGCCGCCTATACGGGGGAACCCCATAAGTGCATATGTCCTGATCACGTGCGCGCACTCAGTAGATGCGTATACGTGTGTGCCTGTGGCTGCCGTGGCTTTCACAGATCGTTTCGAGTAAGAAACGCGCCAAGATTCGCAGTGCTCGTCGCCTTTGTGGTGATCGGTTTGGCGTGTTCTCTTTTTATTCCATTTCCGAAGGGAAGTCCGGCAATCTTCCATTATTTCCACCGAATGCCCACTCACTTCGCGTATACATGGTTTATCTGTCCAGCTGCTTATATATATACTCCATACACACTCGTGCGAACTACAAAAGCAGCCGGTTTGCCCGCGCACAGTCGTTCGCGAGATCCGCCAGTCATTGGTCGCCGGTGTAGCTACGTTGTCTTGATCCACGTTGTATATTTCTTTTCTTTGCCTTGTATTGTTTCTCTAGCCGTTCTTGACATTCAGTTGGGGAGGGTTGTATAGACGGCAGGCTCGTTTCCTGCGTCGCCGATATACAGGCGGAACCAGTAAATATGGT